TGACCAAATGTACTTAATTGATACCTACAGAATACTTCAAGCAACAACCATGGAATATACATTCTACTCATCACCACATGAAACATACTCCAAGATAAACCACATCCTCAGCCATAAATAAAGCATAAACAAATTCTATAAGATTGAAATATTGCCATGCAACTTCTGAAACCACAGTGGAATAAAAATAATTATCAACACCAACAAAGCTACCCCAAAACCCAGAAAGACATGAACACTAAACAGCATGATGAAGAACAACTCCCAACCATGGAAATCAAAGCAGGAATTAAAATTTCTGGAAACAAATGAAAATAAAGACACATCTTACCAATTCATCTGGGATGCTAGGAAATCAGTACTAAGAGGGGAATTCATTTATTTATGAACACACATCAAAAGAATGGAAAACTCACAAGTTAACAGCCCAACAAATCACCTAAGGGAGCTGGAAAGACAAGACCACCAAAACCCTAACTTCAGCAGAAGAATCCAATCACCAAAGTAAAAGTCCAAATACAGGATATAGAAGACAAAAATATCATAGAAAAAAAAAAATCAACAAAACAAAAGCTAGCTCTTTGAAAGGATAAACAAGATTGACAGACACCTAGCCAGACTGACCAAAAAAAGAGAGGAAAAGCCCGAATAAACACAATCAGAAATGCAAAAGATCGAATCACAATGGTCCATGAAGAAATGCAGAGATTACTATGCACATCTATATGGAAACAAACTCAAAAACCTAAATGAAATGGAGAACTTGCTGACATCACACAACCTTCCAAAGTTGAAACAAGAAGAAATTGAGACATTAAATAGACCAATAACAACCTAGGAAATTGACTCCGTCATAAGAAAACTACCCACAAAAAAAAGTCCTGGACCAGATAGCTTTCCTGTGGAGTTTTATAAAACATACAAGGAGACCAGGCTCAGTGGCTCAGCCTTTAATCCTGCGCCTTGGGAGGCTGAGGTGAGTGGATTGCCTGAGCCCGCAGGTTCAAGACCCGCCCAGGCAACTTGGTGACACCTCATCTCTACAATAAAATAAAAAAAAATTAGCCAGGTGTGGTGACGTGTGCCTGTAGTTCCAGCTACTTGGAAGGCTGAGGCGGAAGGATCACCAGAGCCCAGCAGGTCGAGGCTGCGGTGGCCGGGAGCGGCCACTGCACTCCAGTCTGGGCGATGGAGTGAGACTCCAACTCAAAGGAAAAAAAAAAAAAAAAAATACAAGGAGGAGCTGATACCAATCCTGTTGAAAGTATCCAAGCAATCAAGAAAAATAGAATTCTCCCCAAATCATTTTACAAAGCCAACATCACACTGACACTCAAATCAGGTAAAGATTCAACAAAGGAAGAAAACTACAGACCAATAACTCTGATGAAAATAGATGCAAAAAAAATACTCAGCAAGGCTCTAGCAAATCGGACCCAACAATATACCTCAAAAATCATCCACCATAACCAAGTAGGTTCCATCCTTGGGATGCAGGGCTGGTTCAACATCCACAAGAGCATAAATGTAATTAAATACATCAATAGATGCAAAAACAGGAATCACATGATTGTATCATTAGATGCAGAAAAAGCTTTCAATAAAATCCAGCATCCCTTCTTGAAAAACCCTCGAACATCTAAGCATAAAAGGAACATATCTCAAAATAGTAAGAGCCATCTACAGTAAACCCACAGCAAACATATTGCTAAACAGACAAAAACTGGAAGCATTTCTCCTGAAAACTGGAACAAGGCCGCCCACTTTCATCCCCCATTTTCAACATTGTGTTAAAAGTCCTAGCTAGAGCAATCAGACAAGAGAAGAAAATCAGGGGTATCCAAATAGGAAAAGAGGAAGGCAAATTATCCCTCTTTATAGACAACATGATTCTATACCTTGAAACCCAAGAGAATCTGTAAAAACCTCCTTGCACTGATAAAGGACTGTGGCAAAGTCTCAGGGTATAAAATCAATGTGCAAAAGACAGTCTAATCCTATACACCAACAATAAGCAAACAGAAACCCAAATAAAAAGCACAATCCCGTTCACCATAGCCACAAACAAAATGAAATACCTTAGTATCTTCCTAACCAGAGAAATGAAAGACCTTTACAATGAAAACTACAAAACACCACTCAAAGATGACATAAACAAATGGAAAAATATTCCATTCTCATGGACTTGAAGAATCAACATTGTTAAGGTGTCCATCCTACCAAAGGGAACTTACAGATTTAATGCAATACCCACTAAATTACCAGCATCATTCTTCTCAGACCTGGAAACAACAATACAGAAATTAATACGGAAACATAAACAACCACAAATAGCCAAAACAATCCTTAGCTAAAGAAACAAAGTGGGAGGTATCACACTTCCAGACTTTAAACTTCACTATAAGGCTACAAGGCTACAATAATCAAAACAGTGTGGTATTGGTACAAGAATAAGCACATGTTCCAATGGAACAGGGTAGAGATTCCAGAAGCAAAACCTCACTTCTCAACCAACAGATCTTCAACAAAGCCTCCACTATCAACCACTGAGGAGAAGAGAACTTATGCAGGACCACATGCAGAAGACTGAAACAAGACTTCTATCACCATACACAAAAAAAATCAACTCTAAATGGATCAAAGACCTAAATGTAAAATCTCAAACTATAAGAACCTTAGACAATGCAGGAGACACCCTTATGTAATTGGTTACCAATTCCTGGTCAAAACCCCAAATGCCCATGCCATAAGAGATAAGATGAACAAGAGGGACCTCATCAAACTGAAAAGCATCTGCAAAGCAAAATAAACCATAAAGAGAGCAGTGAGACAACCCAGAGAATGGGAAAAAATTTTTACTAGTTATGTATCTGACAAAGGCCTAAGATCTACAAGGAAGTCAAACGTGCCAAAAAGAAAAAAAACAAACAGCCCTATTAAATAGTGGGCAAATTATATGAATAGACACTTCTCAAAAAAAGACATATGAGCAGCCAACAAGATACATGAAATAATGTTCAGCCTCAACAGTTATCAAAGAAATGCAAATTAAAACCACACTGAGATACCACCTAACTCCAGTCAGTAAGGCCATCATCAATCACTCAAAAAAACAACAGATGCTGGAAAGGATGTGGGAAAAATGGAACACTTCTACACTGTTGGTTGGAGTGTAAACTAGTATAACCTCTGTGGAAAACTGTGATGCTTCCTAATATGTAAAAACCGACCTTCCAGCTGGGCACACGGGCTCAGCCTGAAATGCTAGCACTTTGGGAGGCCAAGGTGAGAGGATTGCCTGAGGCCAGGGTTTCAAGACCAGCCTGGGCAACTTGGTGAGAACTCGTCTCTACGATAAATCACAAAAAGTAGCCGGGCGTGGTGGTACACGTCTGTAGTTCCAGCTACTTGCAAAGTTGAGGTGGAAGGATCGCCTAAGCCCAGCAGGTCGAGACTGCAGTGTCAGTAAGCATGCCACTATACACCAGAACACGTTTATTGCAGTAGTATTCACAACAGCAAAAACATGGAACCAACTGTGCTGCCCATCAAAAGTAGACTGAATTTTAAAAATGTGGTAATATACACGATGGAATATTACACAGCCATAAAGAAGGACAGAATTATGAGCTTTGCAGCAACCTGAATAGACTTAGAATCTTTAATACTGAGTGATCTATCACAGAAACAAAGAATTGAGTATCACATGTTCTCACTCATAAGCAGACCCTAAACGATTATCATAAAATTGTAAGAAAGAGATTGGCAGTAGTGGGAAACTGCCAGGGTGGGGGGACACACTTTATCAGTAGGTGTAACTGATCTCAAACTAGGTGAAGTGGGGGCCAAAGTGAGGTCCAAACCTTATTTGTACAATGACTATTTGTATACCTAACCCTGAATTGTACCCATCTTTAAAATTAAAAAAAAATGTGTGCAAATTTTTTGCACCACCGGTATATGTAGAACCTGCTGAAAAATATAATTGAGAAACATAGTTCAGTGACTTTAGCAACTCCACAAGTAGTTATTTTTGAAAAAGTAACACTAAAACAATTTAAACCAAACTTTTTGGGATTAAAAATTTACCCCAGGCTGGGCATGGTAGCTGAAGCCTATAATCCCAGCACTTTGGGAGGCCGAGGTGAGGGGATTCCCTGAGCCCACTGGTTCAAAAATAGCCTGGACAACTTGGTGAGACCACATCTCTACAATACATCAAAATATTAGCTGGGCGTGGTAGTACACACCTGTAGGTCCGGCTACTTGGAAGGCTTAGGTGGAAGGATCGCCTGAGCCAGCAGGTCCACCCCAGTATGACCAGGCATAGTTGAAGGAAGGGTACTAAAAACAAATATTGTGAAGGCTGTGGTAAGCTGTGATTGTGCCACTGTACCCTAGCCCGAGCAAGCGACCCTGACTCAGACAAAAAAAAAAAAAAAAAAAAAGAAGTACATGTTGCTGCCAATTTAAGTCTTTCCCAGATTTCTTAGGAAAAAGTGGGTAGCTTCTCTGCTTGTTCTAATGTCAGGTTTTAGCTTTCTTAGGCTTACTAAGTCATTCATTTTTCTGTTTCCAAACTTTTGTTGTTTGTTTCTTCTAATCATTGTCTTTGGGATTTATACATTAAAATACATTAGTAATTTCTGTAAGGCTTAGAGAAGGCAAAAAGATAAAAGGATTATATTCAATATCTGCCATCTTTTTGTAAATTTATTTTGAGTAATGTCCTTAATTCCTCTCACCCTCAGTACCTCATTTATAAAGTTGAAATAAAATCTGTCCTCTTTACAAAGCTGTCATGAAACTAAAAAATGAAATAATGATATGAACAGCATTATAAAACACTGCCAAAGTACAGAATTATTTCGTCCTGATGCAGGCTTTCACAAAAGGGAACTTAATTTCTTAATATTAATGCCATTTTTTAGAAATTTTTAAAAAACAGATTTTTCCTACATGATATTAGTAGAATTAAAAAAAATTTAAACACATCTTACCAAGAGGGTCCACAGGTAACTGCCTCTAAAGAAATATGATGCATAAACAATCTTCTATCTTTTATGGTGCCTAGAAAAAAATTATTTTACATTATGTACTAATAAAAATCTAATTGATTTTACTTCCCATTTCTGTTTATTACACATTATACATATTCACACAAAAATTTGAGTCTTTAAATTTTCAATGCGTCTAACAGATACTCAGTAAATGATAACTAACAAAAAAATTCTTAATTCACAAATTGATATGACTATATGCCAAATAAATCACAGTACAGACATACAAAAGAAATCAGTATATGTTTAATCAATTGATGCTAGCAATCATAACTCAAAGGTGTTAGCTAATTTCCAGTGCAAGTATGCAATTTAAAATTTAGTTTGTTTAAAAGCTAAGCTTTAGATATTGTTCATTCTCAGTATGTAACTTATATGTATTAAATCTTCAACAACTCCATTAGTAGGGAATTGGTTTACTAAACTAGGATACATTGATAGAGCCACACAATCAACTACTATGTAACCATAAAAAAGAATAAGATCTCTATATAATCACTAAGGAATCATCTCCAGATAAATTCTTAAGTAAATAACAACCACTAATAAACAAGGTGCAAAATGGTGTATATACTATATCTTTTGAGTAAGAAAGAAGAGTGACAAGAATATATATACTACATATATTTGCCTATTTTTATAAAAAGAAATCCTAAAAGGAATAACTCAGACAAAGTGAGACTCCAACTCAAAAGAAAAAAGTGTCAACTTTTGGAAGATCTTCATAACTCAGTGAACTATCTTCTAAATGAAGATAGGAGATTGAGGCTGTGGTGAACTATGATCACACCACTGCTCACAAAAAATGGTTAATTATAGTAAGGAAGAGGTGGGGAAAGTATGGAGGGCACAGGGATAGAATCAAAACTTCTCCAAGTATAACTTTCTGTAGTTTTGATGAATTAAATGAATTAATGGTACAAACATTTTACTTATTCAAGTACAAGAACAAGCAAATCCTAAAATCCAAAGAAAATGGAAACAAGCAAATCTAACCTAATTATCAAATTGATAGCCACATACTGAAGAATAATTTTGAACGGTACTTGGACATACCATTTGACTACACATCTTGAGCATCCCTAATCTGAAAATCTGACCTCCAAAATGCTGCTAAATTAAAAACTTTTTGAGCGCCAACATAAGGCTACTTAAGTGGGAAACTCCACATCTAATCTCATGTGGGTCACAGTTAAAACTCTGTTTCATGTACAAAATTATTTAACATGTTATATAAAATTACCTTCAGGCTATATGTATCAGATGTATACAAGGCATAAATAAATTTTGTGTTTAGACTTTGATCCTATCCCCAATATATTTCATTATGTATATGTAAACATTCCAAAATCCGAAATCTGCAACACTTCTGGTCCCAAGCATTTCCAATAAGGGAAACTCAGCCTGGATATTTTAAGGACAAAAACTGCAAAGAATTCTTAAATTCCCCTTAGTAGTTTTATTGTTAGTAGCTAATATTGATATATCTGTACTGTAGGGCAATGACTCTCACAGGACGACCCATGGAACCCTGAGGGGGTCCCATATCTACAATCATTTTAGGGAATCCAAGCTGTCAAAATTGTCTTAATATTAACACTAAGATGTTTTATGTTCCTTTCACTGTGTTGATATTTGCATTGCTGGTATATTCTGCTGCATACTTTAGCATGATGACTACTTCAAGAAAATGCACTTAAATGTTGTAACTAGGGCAAGCCCCTTGGGTCCCCTCCCACTGTGGGAGTTTTTCTGTCCTCTCAATCTTGGACACACACACAAAAATGTTCTAAGCGATACTAACCATTTTCTTCCCCCATGAAATAACATTTTTACTTGAAAGAGTAACAAACTACAGTTATTCAGACTTGGGTGTTCAGCAGACATTTTCTCAAAAATGAATGACATGAACTTGTCAATTAAGAGGAAAACAAGTGACAATACTTATTGCCAGTGGTAAAATTCAAACTTTTAAATGAAAATTAGGATTTTGGGAAAATTGTACCTGGCTCTATAAAATTGGGAGCTTTCTGATACTTAAACTTTTCGGGCTAGATCAGTAATGATATTAAACAAAAGTGATTGCCTAATATTGTATAATAAAAGTGTCAACTCAATCTGTAATCTCAGCACTTTGGGAGGCCAAGGCGAGCAGATTGCCTGAGCCCACGGGTTCGAGACCCACTCGGGCAACTTGGCAAGACCTTGCTTCTACAATAAATAAAAAATTAGCCGGGCATGGTAGCGCACGCCTATAACTCCAACTACTTGGAAGGCTGAGGCGGAAGGATTGCTGGAGCCCAGCAGGTCGAGGCTGTGGTAGACAGGAGTGTGCCACTGCACTCCAGTCTGGGCGACACAGTGAGACTCCAACTCAAAAAAAAAAAAAAAGTGTCAACTTTTGGAACATCTTCATAACTCAGTGAACTCTCTTCTAAATGAAGATAGGAGATTGAGGCTGTGGTGAACTATGATCACACCACTGCACTCTGGCCTGGGTGACATAGAGACCTCAACAAACAACAAACAAAGCCCAAGCTTTAAGTATTATACTAGTTTTTACTAAATTCTTATAGCTTTTTAAAATATAAAAAGTCATTGTTTTATAATCATTTCACGCTTTACTATAACTTCAGCATCATCATACTAGGTATAATGACAGAAAAGTTCACTTAACAAGGCAAGATGTAAATTTAACAATTAAACCATACAATAAAACCTTTCCTAATACATATACCCAAAAGAACTGAGAAAAATAACTTTAAGAATATTACATATAGTACCTATGGGGGGGAGATATAAATCAATAAAATAAAATGTTACCATCTGGAGTGCTTTTTGAAGCCTGCAAGGATTTTTCTTGATTTTCTATTATCCTATCAAATTCATTTAACAAGTTTCTTTTGATTGGAGGTTCTCCTAAAAAGAAATTTCTGTGTTTTTAGATAAAATACTAATTTTATTTTTCAAAAGCCTATAGTCCATTTTTTAAAGTACTGACTCTTACAATATATTAGACAAAAATGCATAATAAATATAAACTGTGAAACAGAAAACTAATTTTCCAATATCAGCTTAATCTCTATTATTCTTTGACTGCTTAAAAATACCACTGTTGGCTGGGCTCGATGGCTCAGCTTGTAATCCCAGCACTTTGGGAGGCCAAGGTGAGTGGATTGCCTGAGCCCGCGGGTTCGAGAACTGCCTGGGCAACTTGGTGAGACCTCATCTCTACAATAAATCAAAAATTAGCTGGGTGTGGTAGCGCGCGCCTGTAGTTCCAGCTACCTGGAAGGCTGAGGTGAAAGGATCGCTGGAGCCCTGCAGGTCAAGGCTGCGGTGGCCGGGAGTGTGCCACTGCACTCCAGTCTGGGAGACGGAGTGAGGCTTCAACTCAAAAACAACAACAACAACAAAAACCACTGTTATAAGGTCTAGGGATAAACAGATGTTACCAGATACCACAGATAAGTTACTTTTCAATATACTTGCGCTGAACACAGTTCTAGGTTTACTGGCAATAAGGCTGAACAAAATTTCTTCAAATACATTTTTTTTGGAGGGAGCATTAAACTCAAGGAGGATTTATTATACAGGTCCTTAAATTAGTCAGTAAGATTTCTTTTAATTGCCAAAATACATTAAAGTATTAGCAATAGTAATACCTCTTATTTAAACATTTTATAGAGGCTAAGATTAAACCATAACTCAAATTATGCATTTCCATGTCATGCTGAGATAATATGTGATAACAGATATTTTGCTTTTTATGCTTTATTACAGGGAATATATTTGTAGAAAAAGGAAAAATGTCCATGCAAGGCTCCAGTAGGTCATTATAAAGTGGCTTAATTGATCAACAGGACCTGTACTTCTCAAATAACCAGAAGTTGATTAAACTATATTCTTATATATAACAGAAGTTGAAAAATTTAACAGTAGTACTGTTGAGAACACTTATAAGTCTAAGTTGTTTTTTTCTAGGTAGAAGTTCAACCCATTTCAGTAAACACATGAATAGAATGGACTACTAAAAATAAAGCCATTATTTTCCACAAAAGAATTATGAATATCTTTAAGCAAATATACTTCAGAATTTTGCACTAAGGGACGGCATAGTTTAAGTATTATAAATTTACTACTTTGTCCATAAAGTAAGTTCTGTATAGAATGTGACCTATGCATTCACCAGGATGACTTAAAGACAAAAGGTACCAGTGGTAGAATGAACAGACTAACTTCAGTATCTTCCACTGCAATATGAAGGGACTGGACAAGAAGACTTCTAGTAACTCAATTTTTTTTTTTGAGTTGGAGTCTCACTCTGTCGCCCAGGCTGGAGTATAGTGGCATGCTCACGGACACCCAGCATTGACCTGCTGAGCTAAGGCAATCCTTCCACCTCAGTCTTCCAAGTAGCCCGAACTACAGACACATGCTACCACGTCCGGCTAATTTTTTGATTTATTTTAGAGATGAGGTCTCACCAAGTTGCCCAGGCTGTTCTTGAACCCATAGACTCAGGCAATCCCCTCACCTCAGACTCCCAAAGTGCTGGGATCATAGGATTGAGCCACTGCACCTGGCCTGTAACTCAAATATTTTAGGAGTGTACAGGCTTTGAAAAGGAGCTAGTTATTTAATATTATCCAGCCAAAAGTTGGAGTTGGTTTTTGCGTTTGCTTTGAAAATACCTAATCAACAGATTCAATTATTTAAGATCATTTCCTGTCAGAAACACTAATAGGAAAACACACACACACACACACACACACACACACATAAATTAATCCAATGTAACTGTGTGCCACAAAATGATATTTTGGTTTACAATGGCTCAAATATACATTGGTGGTCCTGTAAGATTTTAACAGTGGCCCCATTAAGATTATATCATATGTTTACTGTATATTTTCTGTTTTGAAACACAAATACTTATCACTATGGCAAAACTGCTTAAAGTATTCAGTACAGTAACATGCTGTACAGATTTGTAGCCTAAGAGCAATAGGTTACACCATATAGCCTAGGTTTGTAGTTAGCTACACCACCTAGATTTGTGTATGTATACTCTATGATGCTCACATAATGAAGAAAACACCTAACAATAAATTTCTCAGAAAGTTTCCCGGTTGTTAATTAACACATGACTGTAGCTGAACTAAGTTGTTTGATATACATTTAAAAGGGAAGTTAGACCATGTCCAAATAACATTAAGATATTTGCTAACAATACTGCTTTTAGACCCCTTCCTAGATGAAAAAGAAGCAAGCCAACACCTATTCAATGCTTTCTGCCTACAGTGAATGTGTTAGGTTCACTGTTAAGTGCTTTAGACACATTATTTTTATTTTATTTTGATAATACCCCATGGACAGTGTTATTTGCATTTTATAGATAAGAAAACTGAGACTCAGAGAAGCTAAGTACTGTAAGTAGTATATATTACCCAGTAAATGTTATACAACTAGAAACCAACTTTTGAAATGCCTAAGAGTCAGAGTCTGCTCTTCTGCTATATATGGGGGGATCCCCAAAACACTCAGAATTGTCTTTTGGAGGGTGGGCCTCTTGTAGTACAGGTTTCCTCCGCTAGCTAAGTGTTCTAGGAATCCACTGTCATCAGTGTACCAATTAACTTTGTTGTGAGAGGCTGCATTTGGCTTCAGTGAATTTTTTTGGAGATTCTTTATTTCAGTGCATTTGCCCATTTCACGATGGGTAATTTACAAGTGTACCTGCCCATATTGCCTTGAGTGTTCAGCAGTTTCTGGCCAAAAATGGCATAACCCCCATGCCCCACCCTCCCTATACACTCAATCTCACCCCAAGTAACTTTTTTTTTTGTTTGAAAAATGTCCTCAAAGGGAAATTTGTCAATGTGGAAGAGATGAAACAAAAAATGGCAGAAGCACTAAAAGGCATCAAAATTGATGAGTTCAAAAACTGTTTTGAGCAGTGGAAAAAGCATCACGATAGTATATTGCATCAAACGGAAAGTACTTTGAAGGTGACTGAAGTTTAAACATGGAAGAATAAATGCACAATTTTTTATGAGAAAATTGTTGGGTTTTTTGGGTCCCCTCTTGAATATGAAAACAGTAAGTTAGTATAATGAAGGTTTTGTTAAAACATGAAGGCAAGAGTTTCAACTCTTCCAGAGAAACTCACTTTTAATAGTAATTTCTCAATTATAACTGTATTAATAATTTCTAATAATACATTAAGAGACCCTCAAAACATGACTTTCTGGTATTCAGACTCAAGATATTAGGAGGCAAATCACACTCCCCAAACTACAAATAAAAGCCTGAACAAATATACCTAAGCTTATCACACTCTAATCACTAGCATACTAGCACTATTCACTGAACACTTTTAAAACAGTGACTGGCAATCCAAAAAGTAAAAATAAACATTTACCAACTGAGAGAAGGGCATCTCCTCTTCTTTTTCCAACTCTTGAATTTAATAAAACTGTTTCCTCATTTTCTTGGCTTGTAAGAGAGTGTTCAGCATGATTTGGTAGTTCTAAATCTGTAAGTTCATCATCTTCCATAAAAGCATTGGCGATCTCTACCGCTTCTGTTTCAAAGTAGTTTTCTGAATCTTTAGAGTAAATAGCACAAACTTCTATATTTGTTTCCACAGGAACATCAGAACAAGTTTCAGTTTTACCAACTTCCATTTTCATGTTTCTAGGTAATGCCTGTTCTTTTCCTAAAACATCAATGTTCTTGTTTCCTAGTATCAACTGTTGTTTGCCTTGCCTAAACTGAAAGGGATGTGGAAGAACTTCAACTGAATGATTATTTTCTGAAGAATCACTTTCAGCAGTATAGTTATTTGATAGTTTAGATTCTTTACTATAGGCTTTTCCCAATTTTGAGTTAACAGAATGTTCTGGGGTTCTCTTATCAATACAAGAAAGTATTTTTGATACACCTTGTCTTGATGTAGGTGAATGCTGAAGACTATGTTCAGTTGTGATCATATCAAATTCCTCTAACATTCCCTTGACTTTTTGTAAGGCACTTTCTGAAACTGACACTTGTTTTCCACTTGCTGTACTAAATCCAGAGAAAGCAGATGAATTTACCACATTATGTGAAAAGCCTTTTTGGGGTGCTATTAAATGTTTTGGGGTATGCATCATAGTAGTCTCTTCCTTTGTAAACTGATCTGAATTACTTTTAAATGATACTTTGGAAAAGAGTTGTTCGGTATTATCATCTACCTCAGAAAACACCTGTCTTGCCTTTTGTAATGAAGCATCTGAAACTTGTACAGATTTTCCACTTGCTGTGCTAAAAATTCCACAAGTGTTTGTAGAAGAGACCAACTTGGGAAGCTTCCCTATATTAAATTCACATATATCCAAAGTTTTCATACCAACATCACAAGGTGATATTTTAGAAACTTTCTCCAATCCAGACATACTTTTGTTATGTTGTAAAACTTGTTCACTTTGAATGTCTGCAAAAACCTTATATGAATGCATACATTCTTTATTATCTAGAGACTTAGGAAATATAATATCCTCTGATTCATTCAATATCTTACAATAATCTGCCACACTTTTCGTTTGGCAAGTATCTGATTTACTCTCACTATTTTGCTTAATTACTTGACTGCAGTTGTCGGTAAATATCTCCTTCACTCTTTCAATTGCTTCATGTGAAACACAGACTACTTTACCACTGGTTGTACTGAATGCAGGTGGCCCTACCTCAAAATTATCTGAATTAGAAATGGACAATTTAATAGTTGCATTTTTATTCTTGCATGGTAATGAGTTAGTCACAAGATTTTGAACACAAGTATCTTCATTTACAGTTTTTGGGTTCATGTTTGCTTCCCTCATAGTCGACATTACTTCAGGACAACTACTATTTCTTTTGGCTTCAACATTCTTCACTACTAGTTCAAAACCAGAATCCATTTTATTTTTTGAGAGATATCCTGAATCATTATATATTTCCTCAGAATAACAAAAATCAGAAAGGTAGGAATTGCTGTTAGACAAACTACTGTTACTTAAATAAGTTGAATTTTGTTTTTCTGAGAGATGATTTTTGTCATTTTCAGTCATACTACTGCTTAAGTTATTTTCACAAGGAGGATTTTCAATATAACCTTCGGGGTATTCCTTTGCACACAGAACCTTGGCAGTATTTATTTTTTCTGGCTGATCATCCAGTTCTCCTTCTCTAAGCCATTTTTTTGCTTTCAAAAGTGAAGCCTGACTCACAGAAATTTTTCTACCATGTCCTGTGTGAAATCCTAAGGCAGAATTCTCAATGGCTGAATACGGGGACTGATCTGTGTAACAAGGTGTAGGACTTCTTGCTGTTTCTTTTTCTACATTTTCATGTACTTTAACTTTCAAAGACTTACTATTTGATGCTTTAAGATTTTCACTTTGTCTACGTAAATTATCACTTAAGAGCCTGGGTAGCACTGCAGTCTCATTAGAAACAAGGTTTCTCCCATCATCTAGAGAATTCTGTATTTCTTCACACTTTGGGACAGTTGTTACTTCACTTGTCTCACATGCTAATTTAAGTTCTTCTTTACAGTCCTGTCTGTCATTTAGGGTCTTTGCCTCTTGATGGCTAAAACTGATGATTTCACTAATATCCTGTTTTTCATCAAAAAGATTTTTTACTTTGTATAAAGATTCCTTAGTAATTTTTACTTTTCTCCCACTAGCTGTATGAAAACTCCACAGGGTAGCTTCTTTGACCTTTCCAAGATCACAATCAGGTTGTTGCTGGAGGGTCCCAAACTGATTTCCAGTACCAACTGGGATACTTTCTTTCAATATTTTGTTTTTAGCCAAGTCTGTTTCCTCATGACTTAGAATATCAACTTTGTTCTTTTTTATGCCAGAAAGTAATTTAGAATTCAAGGAAAAGTTATTCAGTTCTTCTTCTGGTTTCTCATCAAAGAAACTGACAACTCTATTTAATGACTCTTTGAAGACTCTTATTTTTTTTCCACTTGCAGTGTGAAATGATATATCAAAAGTCTCAAAATCTTTTATATTTTGTTCCATTTTACAAGTAGTTAACTGTTCTTTGTTTGAAGTATTAACCTGACATGTTTCTTCAGCTTTCACAACTTCCAAACAAGTTAAATCTGATAAATGTTCTTTAATTTGAATGTTTCCCTTCTTCATAAAATGGCTAGATAACTTAAGAGATATATTGTGCTGATCAGTGCATGGCAAGTCATTTTCATCTTTATGAATATAAACTGTTTCATTTCTACTTGAATCACTGACATTAGATTCTCCTGAGTTACAAGTATTTCTTCTATCAGAAGCAGTATGTTTGTTATTTTCATTTTCAGTATTTCTCTTGTAATTTTCAATATTTTCTTTAATAGAAGTGCCAGTAGTCACCTCAGTATTATTTGGTGATGTAAGCTGGCATTTATTATTTTTTTCATCAAAATTTCTATCATTGTTATGATTCTCTATCTTAAACATTGAAACAATAGAATCATGGTATTTACCTGAAGAGGAACTTCTTGGATCTACTTCTGTAAAAGTTTTCTCATTAATATTTTCAATATCACTAAACAATTCCACAGCTTTTTGCAAAGCTTCATTAGAAACGTTCAGTTTTTTGCCACGAGCAGAATAAAAGCCTCTAAACTCTACTTCATTTTCATCTGTTGAATAACCAGAAGCACTTTTGTTACAGTTGTTTTCCAACAAGCAAGCAAACTTTTGCTTAACTCCAACTGCACCTTCAAATTTCCTGCTGCTATGTACCTGACTGATAGATGGGGCATTAATTGTGCGATGAAGATCAACATCTTTCCATTTCTCAGAAGTGGTATTTAAGTCAGTCATCTGGTTTTCAAGCGCTTCAAATGTATTATTCAGTATTATGTGGCTTGGTTTCCTAAATTGTGTAAATTCAAACTGACTTCCCGATTCTTCCAATATACTAGAAAGTTCTGTAATTTCTGCCTTTTGGCTAGGTGTTAAATTATGATTTGAATTAAAATCTCCCTTTAAAAATAACATCTGAGGGGTTGGGTGACCGTTTTTACAATCAGACACAATTGTACTACTCTGTGCATGCACAGACACAGTATTAACTGACTGTGAAACAAATGCATGAGTTTTGCTCAGTTTCTTTTGACTGTCTAACGCCAAGGTATTTACAATTTCAACACAAGCTAAACTAGTAGGATACTGTTCTTCAATATCTTTGAAGAGTATTTTGCTTTTTTTAATATTACATTCAGAGAGTTTTATTTCCTTATTTGAAGCTGTTCTGAAGCTACCTCCAAAACTGTGATTTGAAATAGGATCTAAGAGTTCTGCCCATTTGTCCATGTAATCATTATTTTTGTTTGATATTTTATTTATATCCAAGGATATCTCTGATTCTAAATCTTGACCTCGAGTCAATTTTAGATGCTGCTTTACACTATTTCTGTCCTCTATGAAACCATAATCTATATCTGATGAGTCCAAATCTTTTTTAATTGACACCTGAGCTGTTTGCTTGTCATTGATGCCTGCAAATGCTACCATGGTAGAGTTCTCTAAAATGGGTTCCTTTACACAACTAAGGTCTACTTCATGAAGTTCCTTAGTATTTTCTAATACAGGATTACCCCTTTCATTAGTTACTTGAAAAACAAAATTATTCTCATTGTCTGAGAAAAGTTCTTCAGAGTTGGAATTGACAGTTATCTTTGAAATTAAAGTAGTTTGTTGTTCTTTTTGGGTTATTGTTAGATTTGTATTTTGGTTGACTTGTACTGTTAAGTGTTTTCTAGGTGGCAACAGCTCAACATTTTTAGAATGTTCACTTAAAGCAGGTATTTCTTGATTCTTTTCCATGGGGATATTTTTGGTTAATTCAAAATCAGTTTCACAATTCTTACATTGTAGTTTATCTGACATTTTGAATGATTCTTTTCCTTTAGAAATCACAACTAAGTTTGATGAAGAATTCTTGGAAGTAGGAGTTAAAATAAGAGTGCTGGCACTATCATGGTCATATAATAAACTTTCCTGGGATCGAAAGAGAATACTACTACAATCTACTTTTGCATGTTGTACTGCAGGGTGACCTGTTGCAGCCAAGTTCTTTTCTTTTGTATCAAAAATTTTTCTACTTTTTGGATTATTTTCACACTTTCCTTCCTGAAAGCATAACAAATAATCAGGTTCTGGGATTATAAATGAATGCAGTTTTTCCTTATTAATTTTTGCTTCTTTATAATCAAGATCCTGAGAGATTACTGTATTATTAGAAGAACTGCTTTCTTTATTGGGACATTTCCTTGAAATTGTCCCAAAAGAGTTGGTTAAGGACAAAGTTGGTTCTTCAGAATCATTTTGTAAAGAGTTTCTCTTGACAGAAGAATGCAATAAACCTAAACATTAAAACACAAAGTGACAAAGTTAAAGTACCACCAATTGCATTCACTAAATGTTTTTCACTAAGTTAAAAAGGTAGTGTTTAAAACAAAAATCACATAAAAAGCAAAAAGTAAATGTCAGATTTACAACAGAAAGAATTCTAAATACTCTTTATTTTAAAGTTGCTACATTTTTTAGCTAAAGATAATTAGGATCTAAGTACTTTTTTGGTAATATGTATCAACTCAATCAAAATTAACATCTAGTTCAAGGAAAAATTACTCAAAGTAATTTATATTAGAAAAAATTCATTGCTAATACTGCTATAGTAAGAGACAGAAAAGCAAGGAGGTAGGCAAAAGGAATTAGCAAAGTAACTATTTCCTCTAATTTTTTTTTTTGAGTTGGAGTCTCACTCCGTCAGCCAGGCTGGAGTGCAGTAGCACACTCACGGCCACCCCAGCGTCAACTTGCTGGGCTCTGGTGATCCTTCTGCCTCACTCTTCCTAGTTAATTCTTTCTTATTGAAAAAATAAATTTTTGGCCACCATGCTTCTCTGTAAGCTCTGGCCCCCTACCCAATTTGGGGGAGGCAGATCCCTCCTTTCTCTCTCTTTCTCTAATCTACTTTCTAAATAAACCATATTTTCCAATCGAAAAGAAAAAAAAAAAATCTTTGAAAACAGGGTCCATATATGAAGGGCCTAAAATATGACCTAATTTCAATTAAAAAGACAAGTGAATTAAACTGTACTGTTTAGTTCATTTTCTTGAACCTATGAATTTCCTAAGATGCCAAAGTTTTTTTTTTTTGTTTTGTTTTGAGTTGGAGTCTCACTCTGTCACCCAGGCTGGAGTGCAGTGGCACACTCATGGCCACCAGAGCTTCAAACTGATGGGCTCAGGCAATCCTTCCACCTCAGCCTTCTGAGTAGCTGGAACTACAGGCATGCACTACCACACACAGCTTATTTTTTGATCTATTACATAAACAAGGTCTTACCAAGTTGCCCAGGCTGGTCTCGAACCCCTGAGATTAGGCAATCCTCTCGCCTCAGCCTCCCAAAGTGCTAGGATTACAGGCTTGAGACACCGTGTCTGGCATCATAGTTCTTAATAGTGTTTTATTTAATCAGTAATCACATGCATCGGCTGTTTCATTGGCTTTAACTATGTGATATATATAGCATTAAACGTTTTTCTCTAAAAATTAAACCATTTTTTTTTTGTTGGAGCCTCACTCTGTAGCCCAGGCTGGAGGGCAATGGCACGCTCACGGCCACCCCAGCATCAACCTGCTGGGCTACAGCGATTCTTTCGCCTCAGCTTTCCAAGTAATCGGAACTACAGGCATGCACTACCATGCTCTGCTATTTTTTTATTTATTGTAGAGAGAGGTCTTGTCAAGTTGCCCGGGCTGGTCTTGAACCCACAGGCTCAGGCAATCCACTCTCCTCGGCCTCCCAAAGTGCTGGGATTATGGGCTGAGCCACCGGGCCTGGTCAATTTAACCCAAATTTCAAACAGTTCTTCTGTACTCCAGTTCCACTCATCTATTATTCTGAGTCACTAAAAACTTCTCATAGGGAGATAAAATCACTTTCTAAACATACAGTTTAGCTATTGATAAGTGAATTGTTAGTAAAACAAAAAATGAGTTTCACTGTGTATGCTCTGGAGACCCAGAGATTAGCAGTAACGCTAAGCAATCTCTAAAATACTTAAGACAATTATGTAACAAAAAAATCACGATTATAGAATTGACCTACATTAAATTTAGCTAATTAGCTTTTTTTCAATTATATGCATTAGAGAAAATACATAGTAAGTAGCACTACATATTCATAGAGTTGTCCAATTTGCATATGAAAAAGACAACATTAAAGCAAAAACGAAGTAGTCAAACTCATAATGTTTATGAATGAAAAGCTATCTCAAAAGTAATAATTATATATACTCTGTGCAAACTTGTTCAACAGGTTTAAGCAAAATGATTCTAAACACTGGTAATCACCCCCCAAAAAATTCTTCCCAACTCATTCCATGTGGCCAGTATTACCAAAACCAGACAAAGACACAACAAAAAAAAAGAAAACTACAGCCCAATATTGCTGATGAACATAGACATAAAAATCCTCAACAAAATACTAGCAAATCAAATCCAATACAACACCAAAAAGATAATACACCATAATAAGGTGGAATTTATCCCAGGGAGGCAAGGATGGTTCACCATACGCAAACTGATAAATATGATACATCACATAAACAGAATCAGGGACGAAAACCATATCATCATCTCAAGAGATGCAGAAAAAGTATTCAGTAAAATTCATCACTTCATAATTAAAAAAAAAAAATAGCCGGGCTCGGTGGCTCAGCCTGGAATCCCGCGCTTTGCGAGGCCGAGGTGAGTGGATTGCCTGAGCCCACAGGCTCGAGACCTGCCTGGGCTACTTGGCAAGACCTCATCTCTACAAAAAATCAAAAAATTAGCTGGAACTACAGGCACGGGCGTGGTAGCGCTCGCCTGTAGTTCCAGCTACTTGGAAGGTTGAGGTGGAAGGATCGCTGGAGCCCCGCAGGCCAAGGCTGCAGTGTCCAGGAGCGGCCACTGTACTCCAGTCTGAGTGACAGAGTGAGACTCCAACTCGGAAAAAAAAAAAAAAAAACACCCAAATGAGGCACAGAAGGAACATACTTCAAGATAATAAAGGCCAAATATAACAAGCCCACAGCCAACATCATACTAAATGGAAAAAAGTTGAAAGCATTCCCTCTAAGAACTGGAACAAGACAAGGACGCTCACCTTCACCACTCTTATTCAATATAGTATGGGAAGTTCTTCTCGCCAGAGCAACCAGGTTAAGAGAGAAAAATAAAAGGCATTGAAACTGGAAAGAGGAAGTCAAATTATTCCTGTTCACTGATAATATGATCTTATATCTAGAGAAAACCCTAAAGATTCCACCAAAAGCCTCTTACATCTAGTAAATGAATCCATTAAAGTTTTAGGATACAAGCCAGGCTCGATGGCTCAGCCTGAAATCCCGCGCCTTTGGGAGGCTGAGGTGAGTGGATTGCCTGAGCCCGTGGGTTTGAGACCTGCCTGGGCAGCGAGACCTCATCTCTACAGTAAATCAAAAAATCAGCTGGGCGTGGTAGCACGTGCCTGTAATTCCGGCTACTTGGAAGGCTGAGGCGGAAGGATCGCCGGAGCCCAGCAGGTTGAGGTTGCGGTGGCTGGGAGTGGTCACTGCACCGCAGTCTGGGTGAAAGAGTGAGACTCCGATTCAAAAAAAAAAAATGTTTTAGGATACAAATTAATGTACAGAAGTCAGTAGCATTTATACACATGACAGAAATCTAGTTGAAGACCAAATCAAGAAGATAATCCCATTTACAATAGCTGCAAAAAAACAAAAGAACCCTAGAAATATACTTAATCAAGGAGGTGAAAGATTTCTACAAGGAAAACTTCAAAACACTGATGAAAGAAATCATAGATGACACAAATGGAAAAACATTCCAGGCCATGCATTGGAAGAATAAACAAACAAACAAACAAACCATACTGCCCAAAGCAATCCACAGATTCAGCACAATCCCTATCAAATTACCAATGCAACTTTTTGCAGAATTAGAAAAAACAATTCTAAAATTCATATGGAACCAAAACAGAACCCAAATAGCCAAAGTAATCCTAAGTGAAAAGAACAAAGGTGGAGGCATCACATTACTAGGCTTTAAATTTTATTTACCATGAAGCTAGCTATGGTAACCAAAACAGCATAGTATGGTTTCATACTTACAACCAACTTATCTTTGACAAAGTCAACAAAAATATACAGTGGGGAAATGGCACCTATTCAATAAATGGTGCTAGAAAAATTGGACAGCTATATGCAAAAGAATAAAACTGGACCCATATCTGTCATCATACACAAAAATTAGCTCAAGAGGGATTAAAGACCTAAACATAAGAACTGAAGCTATAAAAATCCTAGAAGAAAACCTAGGAAAAACTCTTTTGGACACTGGCCTAGGCAAATAATTTATGACCAAGTCCTCCAAAGCAAATACAATAAAAATAGACAAATGGAACTCAATTAAACTAAAAGGTTTCTGCACAGCAAAAGAAACAATGGGAAAAATATATGCAAACTTTGTATCACAAAGAAGTAACTTCTATAAAAAACAGTATGGAGATTTCTTGATGAACTAAAGAAAGAACAATTATTTGAACTAGCAATCCCACTTCTGGGTATCAACCCAAAGGAAAAGAAATCATTACAGAAAAAAGACAACTATGGCCAGGCTTGGTGGCTCAGTCTGTAATCCCAGCACTTTGGGAGGCCGAGGTGAGTGGATTGCCTGAGTCCACAGATTCAAGACTGCCCAGGCAAACTTTGGCGAGACCTCATCTCTACAATAAAATACAATAAAAAATTAGCCAGGTGTGGTAGCACACACCTGTAGTTCTGGCTACTTAGAAGGCTGAGGCAGAAGGATCACCAGAGATCAGCAGGTTGACGCTGGGGTGGCCGTGAGCATGCCACTGCACTCCAGCCTGGGCAATGGAGTGAGACTCCAACTCAAAAAAAAAAAAATACACTTGTACTTGTTTGTTTATTGCACCACTATTCACAATAGTAAAGATATGGAAGCAACCTAAGTGTCCATCAAGGGAGGACTGTATATACCATGGAAAACTACTCAGTGATAAAAAGAATGACATCATTATCTTTTACAGGAACATACTTAAAACTTGAGGCCATTACCCTAAGTAAAATAACTCAGAAATAGAAAGTCAAATACTGAATGTCCTTTCTTGTAAGTGGGAGCCAAACAATGGGTACACATGGACATACAGAGTGTACTAATGAACTTCAAAGACTGCAAAAGGCGGGAGATTGGGAGTAGGATGAGGACTGAAAAATTACCTATTGAATATAACGTTCATTATTTGGTTGATGGGTACACTAAAAGCTCAAACTTCACTACTAAGCAATATATGCATATAAAAAACTCGCGCTAGTACTCATAAATATATAAAACCTTAAAAAAACTCCTAAATATATAAAACCTTAAAAAACAGCAAAGAAAAAGAAAGGAGCTAGATTGTAACCTCCCAAAATAAAAATAAATATTGCTAATCAAAAGCCTAACGTACGCAGATACTAAGAATAAATAGATATAGTGATAAAAAAAAAAAAAAACAGAAAAAAACACAAGAGGAAAGCAATTACCATCCATACAACTATAAGCATCATTTAAAAAAAAGAGGTACCTGAATCAGCATTTATAAATGTAAGTGATGCGTTAAAAGTACTTGCTGCCAATTGGGATGAACGGTCAGTTAGTTCTGATTTTTGGTCTTTCTGTATTTTTTTCTTGATAAGATGGTTCACCACTTATAGCATAAATAAACTTATTTGTTTTCTTTTTCAAAGTAGATATTAAACCTGTATTCTTCGAAGTTACACAACTATGTATGATAGTGGTTGGCCAGATTCCATTATCAACTGGACATGTACATAAAGAATCTTCTTTCTGTGAGCACACAGAATGTATTTCCAATTCACTTTCAGAGGCTTCAGTTCCTTCTTTAAAACATCGATTGCTCATATTACCTGAGAAAATGGTACTGAAAGTCTCTTCAGGTGATTCTCTTATTCTGAATATAGACTTTTTGATACCTTGGTATGGAAAAGCTGTTGGAGAGGTTCCAGATCCTGCCCGCTTTACCGCAAGAATGGAGTCTTCATGAGTTTCAATATGCTGCTCCTCATCTCTCTTATTTACCACTGTTTCTTTACTTAATTTCTTCTCTGATTGTGGTAGACTAGAAATATGTGGCAAAGAATTTTCTGAAGTAATAAAATCGATGCATTCTTTCTCTGTGTGTATTAGGTCTTTTTCTGAATTATTTTGGTCACAAGAACTACACAGTAGAGGTATTTTTTCTACCTGGGTTCCATTTAGACCTGAAAGGGTTAGCTGAGACCATTCACAGGCTGAAGAAGGTACAAATTCCTTGGAGATTCTGCCACTTCCATTCCCAAAGGGCTTCTGATCAGCTATAACAGAATCTAATGGATCACTAACGTTTAGTTCCATTTCAGAACCAAGTAAGTGTTGTTCTTCCATTTGCTTTTTAACTTCTTCACATTCTTCAGTTTTTGCTTCATACAAATTTGTTTTCCTTGTCTTCTCAGTTCTATTTTTTTGTAGATTTCCTGTTCTACATTTAGGAAAACATAATAAAAAACTATCTTCTTCAGAAGTATCTACAACTGTTTCATGTACTTCATCTTCTAGGACACTTGGCATTGACTCTCCAAAATGGTCTTTGCAGCTATTTACTTTACCAAAGGAATTCCCTAACATTTTTCCTAATCCTGTTTAAAATTTAAAACAGAAGCACATTATTAACATTTTAAAACCATATAATTTATATAATTCTCATCTTTCCCCCAGGAAATATATATATATTAATCCATAAGTTAGCATTTAAAGGGTTATTCTAAGTGCTAGTTTTTTCTGGTCATCACCTTTCCTCTGTTCTTCTGATAAAGCCTGATTCCAATGACCCCAAAGACTTTTATACATACTCTAATCCATAATATCTTTCTTTATCAGCTGTACACAATTAAAACTCACCTAATCTTACTGTATATACAATTTAAATTTAAAATCCTAAGACCTATCAACCAGGTGTTGCAAATCAGTTTTTTGGCCCTGTAACAACTGAGAGTAAAATCTGCTTTAATATATGTATATGCATATATACATGATCCTATATATACAGAAAGCTATCTAGTCCTACACATTTACACTGACATACACAAATATTAGGAAAAATGCAATATTCCAATGACCTAAGTAAACTGTGGTATACCTAAACAAGATTCACTTTCTAATTAGAAAAAAGAAATTCATATATTCTTAATTATAAAAGATAAATTAAAAAATTCATATTTTCTTAATGATAAATTATTTTTATCTCTAAAAATTTTGAGTAACAGGTTTGGTTTGGTTTTTGTCACAATACATTAAATAGTACTGTCTTAGTATGATGTTTAAATATTGTCACCTAAAACTAGTTTCTATTCTTAATACTTTAAGACATTATTTTAGTAATAAAGAAAGGAGAAGCAATGTGTTTTCTCTAAGAAAAGAGGAGCAGTCCTTCTATGATGTCAATTAAAACAGTAGTTCAGCTAAACAGAACAACTTACCATGACTTCTAGTTTCTCTTTGATTTTTGTTTGCATTGTCTGTCTCAGAAGGGATGAATCTATCATTTTTCTTCAAATTTTCATTATGTTTAGAAAAATAGCTTTTCAAAATCTGCAAAAGTTATAGTTTAAAAATCACGAGTATAAAAGACTCTCAATGCACATACAGTGCTCCCCCATCTTATCTGCAGTTTCATTTTCTGCAATTTTAGTTACCTGCTATCAACTTAGGTCCAAAAACAGTAAATAAAAAACTCCAGAAAAAAGCAATTCATAAGCTTTAATTGTGTACCATTCCGAGTTGTGTGATGAAATCTTGCACTATCTTGCTCCATCCCACTTGGGAAATGAATCATCCCTTTGTTCAGCATATCCAGGCTGTATCTGCTACCCACCTGTCAATCAGTTGGTAGCTGTCTGGGTTATCAGATTGACTATGTGGTATCACAGTGCTTGTGTTCAAGTCATCCTTATTTTACTTAATAATGCCTCCAAAGGGCAAGAGTGGTGATGCTGACAATGTGAATATGCCAAAGACATAAAGTGCTTTTCTTATAAGTTAAATGATAAGTTTCTCTTTTTTTTTTTTTTTTTTTTGAGTTGGAGTCTCACTCTGTCACCCAGGCTGGAGTGCAGTGACATGCTCACGGCAGCCTCGACCTACTGGGCACAGGCGATCCATCCACCTCAGTCTTCCAAGTGAACTATAGGCGAACACTACCACACCCAGCTACTTTTTAAATTTATTGTAGAGAAGAGTTCTTACTAAGTTGTCCGGGCTAGTCTCCAACCCGTGGGGCTCAAGCAACCCTCTCACCACTGCCTCCCAAAATGCTGGGATTACAGACATGAGCCACCACACCCAGTTGAAAGTTTTCAATTTAATAAGGAAAAAAAAATCGTATGCTGAAGTTTCTAAGCTCTGTGGTAAGAACAAATCTCCTATCTGTGAAAGTGTGAAGAAGGCAAAAGAAATTCATGCTTGTTGGCTGTCACACCTCAAACTGAAAAAGTTATGGCCACAGAGTACGTGCTACGTGCTCAGTTAAAAAAGAAAAGACATTAAATATGTGGGTGGAAAACATGAACAGAATATGATCGACAGCAATGTACTGTGCCAGAAAACACTGAACCTATAAGAAGACTTCAGCAAGGAATCCCCTAAAACAAGTGACCTCGCCATTACTGCAAGTAAAGGATAGTCAGACAGATTGAAAAATAGAGTTGGACTCAAAAATATAAAAATTACTGAAAGTTCCAACTGCTGATGAAGAAACTGCTGCCACATGAGTACAATAAGAATTGTTGAAGCCGGGCTCGGTGGTTCAGCCTGTAATCCCGCGCCTTTGGGAGGCTGAGGTGAGTGGATTGCCTGAGGCCACGGGTTCGAGACCCGCCTGGGCAACTTGGCAAGACCTCATCTCTACAATAAAAATAAAAAATTAGCCGTGCGTGGTAGTGCACGCCTGTAGTTCAAACTACCTGGAAGGCTGAGGGGAGGGAGAAGGATTGCTGGAACCTAGCAGGTCGAGGCTGCGGTGGCCTGGAGCAGCCACTGCACTCCAGTCTGGGTGACAGAGTGAGACTCTAACTCAAAAAAAACAAAAAAAAGAATTTGAGACACAGATGACATTCACATAAAATGTATTACAGTATATTGTTATAATTATTCTACTTTATTATTGTTAATCTCTTATGCTGCCTAATTTAGAAATTAAACTTTATTATAGGCATGTAAGTATAGGTAGGGCTTTGTTCCATATGAGGTTTCAGGCAATCATGGGGGGGGGTCTGAGAAAGTATTCCCTGTGAATAAGGGGGACTACTGTATATATACATTTTTATTTTTTAATTTTTTATTTCTTTTGAGTTGGAGTCTCACTCTGTTGCCCAGACTGGAGTGCAGTGGCTGCTCCCGGCCACTGCAGCCTCGACCTGCTGGGCTCCGGCGATCCTTCTGCCTCAGCCTTCCAAGTAGCTGGAACTACAGGCGCGCGCTACCATGCCCAGCTAATTTTTTCATTTATTGTAGAGACAAGGTCTCACCAAGTTGCCCAGGTGGGTCTTGAACCTGCGGGCTCAGGCAATTCACTCACCTCAGCCTCCCAAAGTATGGGATTACAGGCTGAGCTATTGAGCCTGGCATATTTTTTTATTTTTCTGAGTTGGAGTCTGGACCACCCCAGCATCGACCTACTGGGCTCTGAAGAAACTTGCACTTTAGCCTTCCAAGTAGCCGGAACTACAGGTGCATACTACCACACCTAGCTAATTTTATTTATTGTAGAGAAGGTCTCGCCAAGATGCCTGGACTGGTCTTGAACCCACAGGCTCAGGCAATCCACTTGCCTTGGCCTCCCAAAGTGCTGGGATTACGAGTTGAGCCACCGAGCCCAGCCACAATTTATTCTTAAACATAGAGAGAACAGAGTTTTGTTTTTTTGTTTTTGTTTTTTTTTTTTGAGTTGGAGTCTAACTCTGTCGTCCAGACTGGAGTGCAGTGGCCGCTCCCGGCCACCGCAGCCTCGACCTGCTGGGCTCCGGTGATCCTTCCGCCTCAGCCTTCCGAGTAGCCGGAATTACAGGCGTGCGCTACCACGCTTGGCTAATTTTTTTGATTTATTGTAGAGATGAGGTCTTGCCTGCCCAGGCGGGTCTTGAACCTGCGGGCTCAGGCAATCCACTCACCTCAGCCTCCCAAAGGTGCGAGATTACAGGCTGAGCCACCGAGCCTGGCTGAGAACAGAGTTTTAAAGGAAGTCAAAATCACACACAGCATCAGGTTTAGAGACTTTCTCAAAAGCTTAAATATATTAGATAAATTACAGATCAGGGAATTAAAAATGTAACAAAATTTTTCAAGACATTCCAAAATTATAAGCAATTTCAACAATGTATCAACAATTTGTCAATTTTTTACTTACAGCAGTAGTATCATTAGGAAATACAGTTTCAGATGCTTCTTCATCTCTGACTGTAAAATAAAAATTCAATTTACCTGTACTGTATTATATCACTAGAATGCAAAAAAAGTATGTAGTTTTTAGTCAGACATCAAAAAACACGTATACTCTTTGATTAAATGACACATTTGAAACACAGTAAATGGACTCAAGTATAGTAATTAGAAGGTCGATCAACATAGTGAATAAGCTATACTCACTTTTAGCACCACTTGCAAGTAAGAAACTATGGTTTGGTAATTCTGACTTTACGGCAATATTGTTTGGTCACAATGACTCAGAAAATCAGACAAAGCTGTGAGATCATGACTTCAAAGCTAAAAGCTTGAAGATTTTAGCATTTATTTAGACAGTAATACAGTCTAGATGCGTACTGTATGTTAAACACTTCTTACTTTTCAAAGTGATCTTACCCATATTATTTCATCTAACTAAAGAAAGTTAACTTACTCTCAGGAAAGGAATCACAATGGAATGTTATTTTGATAGAATAAACAAAATATAATCCTGGTTTGAGTATAAATTAAACTCAAGCTTTGAATATTATCTACAGTAATGTTTGTATATATATTTTTTAAGACGCTGTACATATACATGGAAGTAAAAAAGTTTCAAAAGCAAACTACTATGTGTAGGACTGCTGGATAAAACACAGTACACTTCATTACATTTGAATTTCAGATAAACAATGAATACTTACTTTTTTAGTATGTCCCATGAAATAATATACTCAACAATTATTCACTGTTTATCTAAAGTTCAAATTTAACGAGATGTACTATATTTTTACTTTCTAAATACTAACTATATGTCATACAGATTTTTCTATTCTTTTTATTTCATTTTTTAACAAGCACATAGAACTCACAAAATAAATTTTACAATTATTATTATTATTTTTTGAGTTGGGTTCTCACTCTGTTGCCCAGGCTGGAGTACAGTGTCACAATCATGGCTCACCATAGCTTCTATCTCTTGGGCTCAGGCAATCCTTCTGCCTTAGTCTCCTGAGTAGCTAGGACTACAAACATGTACCACCATACCTGCCTGGCTAATTTTTGGATTTTTTTTGGTAGAGATGAGGTCTCGCTATGTTGCCCAGGCTGTTCCAAACTCCCGGACTCAAGCAATTCTCTTGTTTCAGCCTCCCAAAGTGCTAGGATTACAGGCATGAGCCACTGTGCCTGGCCAGATTTCACAATTATTAATGGGTCATGACTGCAATTTAAGAAGCAATATGTAGCCTAGTATCTTCCAAAAATAAGAGCGATGTAATGGTGAATATTTACTTTTTTTCCTCCATTATCATCCACACTTTCATCCTTGCCTATAAATTGTAATGTGTTTGTTTAGATGAACTTTCAAATACTTATTCACACTGTATTTAATCACATTTATATACAGACATTTCTATAATCTTATGTTTGTCGTCTTATAGAATGAACAGGCTGGGTGCGGTGGTTCACGGCTATAATCCAGCACTTCAGGAGGCCGAGGTGAGAAGATTGTCTGAGCCCACAGGTTCGAGATCAGGCTGGACAACTTGGCGAAACCTCATCTCTACAATAAATAAAAAAATTAGCCGGGCATGGTGGTGCACGCCTGTAGTCCCAGCTACTTGGAAGGCTGAGGTGGAAGGATTGCCTGAGCCCAGCAGGTCAAGGCTTTGGTGGCTGTGAGCGTGCCACAGCCCTCTAGCCTGGGCGACAGAGTGAGACTCCTACTCAAAAAAAATCAAAAACAAAACAGAATTATCATACCCTTTCAAATACAAAGTTATAATAGCCAAATTTCTAGTTGTTTTAAGCTGATTTTAAGCTGTTTTACAATAGGAAATATTTCTAGATCATAGTAAAAGAAACTATGGTGAGCCTGCAAAGAGCTTATAGTCCAACGCATGGATAAATTAAATATTCCAGTTAATCATATAGCTGTATAATTACAATTGTAAAATTTGAGCTCTCATTCAGTACCACTGGCAATACAGACCTGTAGAACAGATTTAAGTAGACAACAAAAGTTTAATGCTGCTTTAATGCCAAAAGCATAATAATTTGCAAAAAATTCACAATTATACCAAATATCAGCTCTTAAATGGTTATATGTGTAAATAAGTATCTGTAAAACTACTTGAATGACACAGTACTAAAACACAATATTTGACATCTACAGAATACCACTTAATGCATTTGTGATTTACCCCAATCTATACTAAACAAAATTATCCTAACACACTTATCAGACAGTATTATCTAATATTTTCTTTTTAACAGAAGCATCAGAGATGACAATTTATCAACATCATCTATCTTTCCTCATAAGATAGTCATTTGTTAGTATTACCTATGAGCACAGTAGAACTAAGTGTGGGTGGAGTGGCTAAAGAACTTGACCAAGACATATCAGAATCCACTTCAGCTCCTAGACTTTCAGAAATATGTTTTGGTGTCTGACAACCCTGGAAAGAAAGATAATAGTTTATTTTACAGAAAAGCACTGATGATTAAGAATTTTTTTTTCATTCACTATTTCACTTATCATGAACTGATTGCCTATATGAGGCAGAATGCTAGATACAGATCTCTGAATCTCAGGGTAAAGAAATATCATCGTCAAATTCTCAATTACTATACTGTAAAAATATATCAGGCAGAATATTTACCTTCACAAACTTGGGTGTATGAAATAAACTTCCACAAACCACTGGGGGTAAAAAAGGGGGAAATTATTAAGTTTTATTTTTATTGCATTTCTAGTATTCTAAGAATAAATAGCCTTGTTTTTAATCATACCTGACTTATCTTTTTGTGGTGTTACATGTGTACATTGCAGAACAACAGAACTAAAACAAAACAAAACAATCCCTTAGATTATTCAAAAAATAATAGAAATGGCAAAAAGAGACGACATTCTTATTTTTAAAAAAAGACTCAATCATACCAGTTGTTTGAATTATACTACTTTTTAATATTTGTATATTACTTCTTAAAAAGTAAACCTTTCATGAAGAATTAAGTAACTTAGTGATATTTTAAATGCCCACAGAAAGCAGTATAAAGAACTCACAAATTTCAACTGCTAGAAGTTATATATTTTAAACGTACACAAATAACTTATTGGTAATTCTAGAACTTATTGCTTTTCATCATTAATATTTTTGTTACTTAAAAAGTTGCAGAATATACAGAAAATCAGCCAATTCAACATTATTTTTAAAAAAACACCCTATGTTTCTAGTGTAAAAATTATTTTGTTAAAGGACTCGACCTAAAAGAATATTTAAAAATAGAAAAGCTTCCATCAGGTTCTCAGCAAAAATATTAGCATAAAAATTAGATTCATCTCCATAAAACAAATATATGTAGAACAACATTTCATTTAAATATTTCAAATAATAGCTTCATCATACCTTTCTCTAAGACAAGAATTTAGAAGTGGACTGGTAACATCATCTGCTTCATCCCTCTTAATTTTCACTGTGTGATGACTTTTATGTTTACTATTGGCAATATTCCTTCCTGAAACAGGGCAATAGTTCAGTGAGGATATATATACTCTGGATTATAAATTTTCATTCTCTAGAAGTATTTAAAACAAAAAGTTTCATCCATACTGGGAAAGAGAATGTATGGGCATTCAGTCTGAAGAGGTTTTTCAGTTTGCTGAATTCTCCCAAAAAGGGATATCTCAAGGGATGTCCCCTCATTTAATAACATTAAGCATATAACACGCACAAGACCCTTTGGATGATCTGATTCAAGATATAATTTTAATCTCAAAGAGCTTATAATCTAGTAGGGGAAATTTTTAAAAAAATGTACACAAGTGGACTACAAGGTAGAATGCAGAATGTTCTATAATTAAGTTACACAGTACTATGGTAATATAGAGAAGAGTAAAGGAAAAGACACTTACTGAAAGCCTACCAAGGTACAAAATCTGACCACATCACTCTTCTGTTAAAAATCTTTCAAGATCTAGCCGGGCTCGGTGGCTCAGCCTATAATCCCGCGCCTTTGGGAGGCTGAGGTGAGTGGATTGCCTGAGCCCGAGGGTTCGAGACCCGCCTGGGCAGCGAGACCTCATCTCTACAATAAATCAAAAAAAAATCAGCTGGGTGTGGTAGCACATGCCTGTAATTCCGGCTACTCGGAAGGCTGAGGTGGAAGGATGGCAGGAGCCCAGCAGGCGAGGCTGCGGTGGCCGGAAGCCGCCACTGCACTCCAGTCTGGGTGACAGAGTGAGACTCCAACTCAAAAAAAAAAAAAAAAAAATCTTTCATCTTATTTTTCAAGATCAAGTCAAACTACATGATGAAACTCCATAGTATCAAGGCCTTTCATGATTTACTTCTTAACCTTTATGACGCCATTCTTTTACACTGTGCTTTTTAGCCATACCCAACCATTTGCATATCCTGAAAGAATGCTATGTTTAACTTTTAGGACTTCATACAATCTGCTTCTCTTTTTGTTTCTCTCAGCCTGAAACATCTCGTTCAGCCTTCCATTTAAAAACTACCTCCTCCAGAAAATACCTAAGGTGAGATTAACACATAGAAGCCTGCCATGCCTACGTGTTTCCTGGAAAGGTTATCATACACAGTTTGTTCCTTTCTCATTAGACTGTGAGCTCCTTGAGATAAAGGTTTTCTTATTTATCACTGTAATAACTACAATACTGTCTGATATGTTACAGTCACTCCAGAAATGTTGGCTGAATGAATAAATTACCTGTAATTAGAGAAAGTGAGTTGTAGACAGCAATACACATATTTCTATTCTCATTAAACACATTCACTTTCTAAGACAATTATGCTCAGACAGGGTTTCTAAAGTGACAGAGGGCTCTACCAAAATCAAATCCAACTTGCAGTTTTTTAATAGTCTTATTTTTAATTAAAGTACACTATACTTGACTCTCCACAGCATTAACTACTGATGTGGTTCCACTGGTTGACAGCGACTACAAATTTGACACCTGAGGCACTTATTATTACTCTTAGAAGAAAATGCTTTGAAAGACAGTTGTTTTAGCAGACCCTATAATCTCTAACTTAGAGAACTTTTGGGAAAAATTAGCTATGTCAATGTTATTAAAGTAAAATGTATAGCCCAGCAAGCCCTCATCTCTACAAAAAATAAAAAAAAATTTGCTACATGTGGCGGTACACACCTGCGGTCCCAGATACTTGGGAGGCTGAGGTAGGAGGATCACTTGAGCCCAAGAGTTGAAGGCTGCAGTGAGAAGTGAATGTGCCACTGCACTCTAATCTGGGTGACACACTGAGATCCTGATGCCCCCAAAAAGGTAAGAAGAAAGTTGTGTGTAGAGGTAACAACATGTGTAAAGAGTCAGAGAGCATGGTGGTTTGAAAACGAAGAAATTCAGTATGAATGAATGGTAAATGAAGACAGGTGTGAGGAAGAATATGGCAAGATGAGCCAAGAATGTTAATGAGACTAGATTACAAAGGAACTATAACTCCTTGAGTTTGGATTCTATTATGAGGACAAAGGGAGGTGATCAAAAGTTTGACATTTGTACATGAAATTGCACAAATTTGCATGAGACTTCTCAGCTCAACAACCAATTAAATTCAATTTCTTTAGCCTGGCCTTCAATGCCCGCCTTTAACCTGCCTTTTTTTAGCCTTAGGTTGTCTTTCGGTTCCTTTCAGACCTGTAACACCTCAAACCAGCCTCAATTACTTGCTATTCCCTGAGCAAATCATGTATTCTTCCTCAGATTGTTCCCTCTGCCTAGAACATCATCATTCTTCCACATCCTTCAAATTTCTGAATTTCACCTGTCCTTCAAAGTTCAATTCAAAGAATCACTGTTTAAGTCCTCTCAATACTATTTGCTCTTCTTCTCAACTCTCATCGTACGTTTTTATATATTTTTTTGGTACATACCACATTCAACCTGATACTATACTTTAATTGTGTACTATTCATACCCCTTACTAAAGAGTAATACTGACCCCTTTAAACAGTAATACCGCAAAGCGAAAGTTTTGAATGATTAAATGCAAAATCTTATTACAGAATTGCTTAGAACATGTGGCACCTGGGGCAGGGAAATTGCTACCAAAGCACGCGATTTATAGCATAATGATAAAAATAATTTCTGCCCTCTGTGATAGACTACAGAAATATAGTTTAGCTTAATTAAAACCAAAACAAATCTTAGGGTTTTTTTGGCATAAAAAGACAAAATTTAGCACATCTCAGTGGGCAAAATGTATTAATCAAAGGAGAGAGGAAAAGAGACATTTATGAAGCACCTACATTATAATTTAATTCAAACCCATCAGGTACTAGTTTCATCAGTTCCATTGTTCAACTGAGAAAAGTGAAGTCAAAGAGACTGATTTGCCCAACATGACACAATTAGTAAATAAAAAAGCTGAGATTTTTAACACAAGTTTGTTTGAATTTCTAGTTTATATTTTTCTCCAGGCTACCACATCACATTACTTACCTAACTCTAAACTGTACTTACTTAATTCTTTTACAGGAGATTGGTACAGCGGCAGAGTCAGTCCTTGCTCTTTGAATATTATTGGAGTTGAAGCCAATTGATGAAAAGAGGGTTTCCTTTGTGGTGTTTTAAATAAGTTTGGTTCATAACTGCTGATTTTATATTCAGGTTCTTCTGTAGGCTCAGAATTATAGAGCGGAGCTTCTGAAGAAAGTTCTTCAAACCAATTAAGGCTTATTGGTCCTAAATCTGTAAGAAAAATTAAAATCCTACCTTAGTTTTAACCAATGACACAGAATAATCTATAAGCCAGCATAGTTAAGGCATAATAAGGAAAACGATGCTTGATGGATTACTTTTGTTAAGACATTACTAATTGAGCAAGATTATTCATCCATTTTCTTATAAACCTGTAGCAAAGTACAAGAAGAGTTCACAGAAGTTACAAGATAGCACTTAGCTTTTAAAATATTTTTATTTAATTCCTATTTTCTATCTTAATATTCATAATTTAGAGGAAAAAAAACATTCACAGTAAGAATATACTCCATAGATAAAATTCAACGAACTATGAAGACTACCTAAGTGTAATGTGGCAAATATATGGGCAGAAGAAATGTGCTGACTCTCAAATAAAATGGAGAAAAAAGAGTCTTTCATGAACTGGCACAGTGGCTCACACCTGTAATCCCAGCACTTAGGGAGGTCAAGGCAGGAAGACTGCTTGAGTCCAGGAGTTCGAGACCAGCCTGGGTAATACAGTGAAACTTTGTATCTACAAAAAAACAAAAAACTAGCTAGACATGGAGGTACATGCCTGTAGTCCCAGCTACTCAGAAGGCTGAGGCAGAACGAATGCCTGAGCTCAGGAGGTAGAGGCTGCTGTGAGCCTTGATTATGCCATTGCACTCCAGCCTGGGCAAAACAGTGACATACCACCTCAAAAAAAAAAAAAAGAAAATTTGTCTTAAAGGAAAAAACAACAAAATTTCTATTATGATCTATCTATCCTGTACAGTAGCTGTTCAAACTATTTTCATACTAACATATATCACTTGCTTTTTTCATGATGCTGACATTTGTATGGATGGTGCAAAGATAAGGGTGGGTAAAACTGCCAGCAATGAGTTAAGACAGTGGCACCAAAGTATACTAGTAGTCACTGTACATTTTACCAGGGCCCTTGTTACAAAATAACACCAGCTTAACTTAAGAATGTTTCCATGTGGGGGTAGGATTGGCAGTAGTGGGATTATGCTGGGGGGAAGGGGGGCATCAACAAGGGTACCGGTATAATGAACATTTGTATACTTAACCCTGAATTGTACCCCACATCTTTAAAATAAAAAAAAGAATGTCCTCATGAAACAGTACAAATTAATTTTATTAAAGCTTGATGCTAGAGCACATCTTTTTAATATTCTCTGACAAAATGGGAAGTACGCATAAACTTTGGCATACTGAAGAAAATAGCTATCTAGAAAACCTCTCATGACTTGTGAGCTGCACTAGGAGCTTTTTTCATGAAAGTTCATTTTTACTTGAAACTTAGATAATTTGGTAGATATTGTCTCACAAATTAGTGAAGTGACCCTGCTACTGTAAGGAAACAGTCTGTTGTCAATGATAAAATGTGAGCTTTCAAATGAAAATTAAGAATTTCCAGTAGCTCACTTTATTCCAATCTTTTTATTTTTTTAATTTGGAGTCTCACTCTGTCGCCCAGGCTGGAGTGCAGTGGCACACTCACAGCCACCCCAGTGTCAGCCTGCTGGGCTATGGCGATCCTTCCGCCTCAGCCTTCCAAGTAGCCAGAACTACAGGGACATGCTACCAAGCCCGACTAATTTTTTATTTATTGTAGAGACGAGGTCTTGCCAAGTTGCCTGGACTGGTCTCAAACCCGCAGTCTTGGGCAATCCACTCGCCTTGGCCTCCCAAAGTGCTGGGATTACAGGCTAAGCCACCGAGCCTGGCCCTTTTTCCCAATCTTAAAAGACTTTTCTGATAAGATCAGTGGTGATACTAATGAATGTGATTTTTAAAAAAAATACTGCTTAATAAAGTTTTTCAATATTTGGAATATGTATATAATTCAGAATACCAACATCTTCCAAATAATCGCTGCATGATGTTAAAACACGGAAAGATCTATTGGTGTATCTATTAGATCTCTGAAAGATCTGTTCAGAGCACAAGAGACTAATAAAGAAAAATACACGTAACTGAAGACAAAATACTCCTTTTCCCAACTGCCTAGCTAACGAGGTTGAAGTTTCTTCACGTACTTCTACCAGCACAACATAGTGCAACAGATTAAATGCAGATACAGATGTGAGAATCCAGCTATTTTCTTTTGAGGCAGACATTAAAGAGAACTACAAAATTATAAAAACGATTCCACTCATTTTTTCTTGTTGTTTTGGAAAATATAGTTATTTTTCATAAAAATGTTATTTATTGTAATAAGCAGTGGGTTTATTTTTGTCATTTTTAAGTAAATCAATGAATATCTTAAGTTCTTAGTTTTAATTTCTAATATGGTAACCTACATTAACAAAAGCTCTTTGGGGGTCCTCTATCATTTTTAAGAGTGTAAGGAGTACTGAGGCCAAGATGTTTGACAACCTCAATCAAAAAGGAATATTACCAATATTTGATTCGTTAGCAATGCTTTAAAAACGATTCTTCCCACTGCTAACCAAGGGGCCAGTCCACTCTTTAACCACCTAAGGGTCTGTATTTATCATCTGGTTAACCTGTAAACAATTATGTCCTTAACTGGATTTATGAGTCCAAAAGTATTAGTTTAAGGTATAAGCAAAATCATGAAGTATTGAGTTCTCTTTAGCAAGCATGTACCTTTATTTTTCTGAAAACATTTTGTAGGTGTGATTTATCAAGTTATATAAAATTTGTCAGTACCTGCTTTGTTGCATCGTGTCTTAAAAATTTCAAAAAAAGTTGGCCTCTCTTTGGATCCAATAGGCATTTTTATCTATAATATTACTCCAACGCTTGGTAAGTATGTCTGCAAAAGAGAAGACCAAAATACTCTTAAAGAGGGATGCGTTCCTTAAGTGACCCTGAGGCAAAAACAGGACGCACTGGTAAGATTGTCTAAGGTCACTCTACTCTCTTCCCATATTTTGGGACAATACCTGCTCATTTTGAGGATAGGGACGTTCTATAACTGTGCTGTCCAACACAGTAGCCACTAGTCACATTTAATCACTTGAAATGTGGCCAGTGGCACCAAGAACAAAATGTTTAATAAGATGTAGTTTTGATGACGTTAACCAGTCATGCGTGGCTGGTGGCTGCCGGTTGCAGCGGGCTCCCTTAGAGACAAATACCGCGGGATAATTCCCAATCAGTACTTCTTCCAAGAACAGCAATTACCCGCAGATTACAAGGCAGTGCAGTGCGCACGAAGCTGCAAAACATTTTCCAAAACAGCAACATTCCACCAAAATAACTGAGGCAGGCTAGTAAGCACAGGAGAAATGTGACCTCTGTATCATCCTTCAAGAAGCAGGAAGGGAGTCGCTCACATTTAGGAAGATACCTCTGGGGTGTTTAAGGCTGGAGCCAGCAGATCAAGGTGACCCTCCCCCTGCTTGATCACCTGTTGAGTGCAAATGGAACACGAGCTCAACACGCAGCCCAAAGGACAGCCAATCCACAGCCCTCAAGACCCTCGCCACCTCCCTAAAGGCAAAAATAAAAGTCAATCTCCAAAAGCCTCGTTCACAGGCTGCCCACGATCCCCGCCCCTCCCTTTCCCATCAAGGGTCGTTTAGCCTTAAGAAATGCCTCACTTTGCTCGCCAACCTAGTGACTTGTGACTAGGATTCTCACCGGCGGCAGAGCCAAGAACTCGGGCAAGAGTTGAGCCAAGAACTCGGGCAACGCTAGACCGCCTCCACCCCGCCCCCACTAACCCACTCTGGAGGTGCAGCTGTTTGGGCCAGAGAAGTTGACAGAAGCCGCCATGGGCACTCTCTCTCTCTCTAAGACAACACTACAGGCCAGGGGCGGTGGCTCACTCCTGTCATCCCAGCACTTTGGAAGGCCTAGGCGAGGACTGCCTGACCCCACGGGTTCGAGACTAGTCTGGGCAACTTGGCGAGACTTCGTGTCTACGATAAATCAAAAATTAGAGGGCGTGGTGGCGCAGACTTGTGGTCCCAGCTATTTGGGAGACCGAGGCGGAAGGATCGCCTGAGCCCAGGAGGTCGAGGCTGCGGTGGCCGGGAGCGGCCACTGCACTCCAGTCTGGGTGACAGCGGG